CGCGGTGCGGGAGCTGCGGGATGACGCTGCAAAACGGGTTGGAGAACGTTCTGGGTTTAGTTCTCGTTTTGCTGAGCTTTTCCTGGGTCGTGGTCAATACCCACGTCCCGCTCATCCCTCTTTTCCCCCCTTATCGCTCCTGAGCATTTATTGCCTGCTGGTGTTCCAGTTGCCATCACGCTCCCTTCGCTTTCTATGTAAAAACAACTAAATTAACACGTCATTTCTGTCTGCCGAAGAGAAGCGTCACCCCCATAACGGCACAAAAACAGTGGCAAAATGAGAACAACATTTGGGGGGCATTCTTCCTGCCCTGCACGTTTTCCAGCTTTGAGGTGAAACAGAGCAGGGCTCCTCCGGGAACCGACAGAGCTGGTGCTGCTCTCCGGACCTTGTCCATGGCCCTGCCGAGCTGTGTGTGTGTGGGGGGCTGTTTGTTTGTTTTCCTTGCCACTGACACGACACTTTGTCACCTTTCCGTACGTGTGGATGGTTGGCGGCGGTTCCACGCAGGTGATCAAAGGGGCAGCCTTTCTCTTCCCCTTCCTAACCGTGCGCATCGATCCCTCCCGGCTGCTTCGGCCAGAAGGGGAAGCCGCGGCTGCAGCTGAGAGCGGAGAGAACGTTTTCTCTTGGCCAGAAGGAATTAAAATGCCGAGATCGGTTTACAACTCGGTTTACTAGCCGTGGGCACGGAGCGCGTTACCTACCCGGGGGTTTGGTGTCAGAGACCGCGGCACCGGCTCCACAAAGACAAAACGGCTCCAAATGTTTATCGCTGCTGGATGAGGAAGCAATTGCAGTTCAACCGTGGGATATTTTGGATGGTGGAAGCAATGCGGACATAGATCAGTATTCCTGTATGGAGAGATGCAAATCACACCCAGCCCCGGGACTCCTGGCAAGTGGCTCCTGGATTCCCTGTCCTCCCAGAGCAGGTGCCTGTCGGTAACAGCAGCCTGTTTAGCATGTGAATTACTTTCAGCTGGGAGAATGGGGGTTCTCCAGTTGTCCCATCATCATAAATTCCTGGAGCCAATGCTGCTCAGAGTCATGGAGCGTTATAACAGGAGTAGGTATTTGTTTTCTTCATCTCATGTTTAGATAAGCTTTTTATTAAAGTAGCTGCTGTAAAGGGCTCACGGGCGTTTTGTGAGCTACGGAAAGCATTGAGTTTCCTTAAAATAAGGTGCTAATAAAACTGTTAAACACTGTCACTGTGTTAAACGTTGAGTTTGCTGTTTTATCTGTCACCGACGCAGACGTTAATTAGAAGGCTCAGGGAGACCTTCTTTACAGAGGGGGAGCTTCTTCTACCTTGAGGCTGCGGAAAGAGGGGCAGGTTTCCCGGCGGGGTCTGGGACCCCCGGGGCAGGGGCAGGAGCAGCACCCGGGGCAGGGGGAGGTCCTGGGGCAGGGGCAGCTCCCCGGGCAGGGGCA